GCACGGCTAGGATATATTCATAATATGCAAAAGATTTCAAGAAAGTATAGGAAAATTTAGAGAGCAAAAAATAAAACTATACGCAGAAGTAAATATTTCCATCAAGTATGGGACTTTCGAGAGCGCGTTTTAACTACGTTAATTTAAAGACGAATGATTCAATTATATTTTGTCCGATTGTGTCTTATCCCGAATATCGCTGATGAACAAAAAACGAGACGTCTGTTGCAGTCATGTCAAAAAACATAAGTTCAATAAGTTGCCGTTATAGGCTGTGGCGGTCAGCTGTCCGCCACGTGCGAACTTAAGAACGCTATAGGGACCCTGTCGAGCTGCCCTAGATATAAAGATCGATGTTGAATTTTAATCACGCGAGAATGTACCGGCGATACGCCGCGTAGCGGGCGCGAGGCGAATCCTCTCGCCGCGCGAGCCCACGTTGCCGCTCGCGCCGCGCGCCTTCCGTCGTCCACGATCGCGGTTACTATCGCATTTCTATAAAGAACATAAATTATTGCCAGATACGCAACGAATATTTCTATACAGTTCACAATAGGTACCATTCTAGATTATATTTTTCCTATACTGTCTTAAAAAACAACGCTCAATCCAAGACATGTGAAGTTGGCAATTCAAGCTACAACGTCGAATATACACATACTAGTATGGGACTTTTTTTACTGTTCTCATATTTCCTTGTTAGTATGGCAAATTTATTTACCTTTAGGTTACAAGATGTATCTGATCAAACTATTACATTTCTATTGTCATATATTAATTTCCGGTTGAATACGCGTATATCTTACCGGAACCTAGCAAATCTAGTAAATTTTATTATGAGTATTCTACATTATTCGAGAAAAATTTTCTGCGTGTATGTTGTTGGGAATCATGTTTTGCGCGTAGCTGCAAAATTTAACTTTCACTTAATTTGAATATACCGATGTGCTGGTATATATTTGAGTATGCATAATAGAAATTAAAATCTGAATTATTAAGCGCATTTTTTAGAATCAAAATAAAAGTCTTAATAATGTGTATTTTTGCAATTAATTTTTGATATATTCATTTTTTATTAAAAATATCACATCAATCTTTCAAAATTTGATTCATATTCGTAATTTTTTCGGCTCAAAATCATTATTCAAATAACGCAATTGTACGGGAACATAATACAAATTCCAAATTGTCAACAAAATTTACTAAAATGAAGAAAATTTTCTTTTTTATTAGTACCTATATGTGTATTCATTGAGAAAAAAAAAACTAATAAAAAGGAAAATTTTCTTCATTTTAATAAATACAGTTACACTTGTATGCGAACTATATAATATTTACTAAATATCCAGAACATTTTTTTCTTAGTGTATTATTGCAGACGCAGATTTCCCGCGAATAACTCAGACAATAACACAGTAGGCGCCAGTCCTCTTGCGATGGAAATCTCCATTCGTGGAGTCATTGGCGTAAGCAATTCTATGTATGTTACGATGCGGTATATAATCACGTTCCTTTTCTTATTAACTCTACAAAAGGCAAACTCAAGGGAAAAAATGAACAAAAAGTATTCATATTTAAGAATTATTACAATGGTAATATAATTGAAAATTTCTATTTCTGTTATGATATATGTACAGTATAAAAAAATGAGAATTGATGAATAATTTTTTGAAGAAATAAATTTTTGTATGCGTAGATATAAAGTTCCTATATACAAAAGTTATTTCCATATAATAAATATGGAAATCAATTCTTTCGAACTGCTACGAACAATAAGTTAGTTTTTAAAATTGAATCAGTTTTTAAAATTGATACAAAGATCTTGTCAAATAAAATAAAAATTAAATTAACGTACACGCACAAGATTCTACTTATAAAATTCTCACATAAATTTTCTGTTGTCTTTTCTTTAAAGAAAAGTTGATGGGGTAACTCAGCATTTGTCGCAAATTTTTCAATTTTTGACACCGAATATCTTGCCGCTGACGAAATTAACTGCTAAATAAAATAATAAACTGCTAAAAAAAATAAACTGCTTTTGGTGCTGCGTTCATGCTTAAAATATTTCAATATTTCGAAATATTGTCGCAACGCTGCTTTATTCAGATTATTAAATACATGTCGGTGTAAACTGTAAGATATTGTTCTGCAACTTGTGTGCAGACAAAGCGCAACGTATTTACGCGTATCGATATCACAATAGTCACGCGATATCTTGCAACGCGTCACAAATTAACGCCTGCTAACGATTCTCGACACTTATAGGCGCGCGAAAAGTCGAGATCCGAATTGCATCATCATCGATAATCGAGCTTTCATTGTTAATCTCGATTGAATATCTCCGACATTTCGGTTGTGTTGCGCCACGTGCTTTATCGTCAATAATGCGACGTTACGACGCTGATCGCGATTATTGGAACGTCTCGCGTCCGCAAATTGTGTCGCAAGGAATGCGTCGTTCATGACGATAAGAGATTATCGTGGTATACGTTTCGCAATACGAAAGGATAGAGAATTTACCTGGCGTTCTGCAATGACTGACGTGTGCGCATTCATTGCGTCGCACGTGTGACGTCGAATGTGTTATGCATTTTCTTTTCTTTTTGTGTAATCTTAATTGAGTAATCTATACGCAACGTCTTTCTATTATCTCGGAATAGAGACAAAAGATTTTAATCACAAAGAACAATAACCGATTACAAGCTAGGACGATTTATACAGAGCGTAAAATCACCGAACATCTTTTTAATCATATTTACTCTCTAAATCTGAACCAGTGAATAGTCACTGATATCAGTGTAAAGTATACACTGAGAAAAAAAAATCGTAGATTCAAAGAAATATTATTTGATTCAACTAAATGCAGCGGTCACGGGCTGTCAAACTAACATTTGTTAATTCAAAAAATATTATATTTAAATAGATTCAGAATTTCTTGATATTACTCACGTATATTTGATTTAAATATATTAATATTTGCATTAAACAAATCACTACAACTAAACGAGTTTAGTCAAATTTACAACATTTTTTTTTCAGTGTACTACTTTTCTGAATCAGGGGCATCCTTTACACTGAGAATCAGTGACTATTCACTGATTCGCAGCACTGTTCACTGATTCAGATTTAGAGAGTATCAGAGTACATACAATATGCAATGTTCGAGCTAATTACTCGATTGCTCACTTCTTGAATTCATCCTTTTAATGAGACTATAAAGAGACTACGAAGATTATAAAACATGACTTGCATTAGATATGTAATGCGATAATAAGGCAATAGTGAGGGAAAGAATTCTTGTTATCAGTAGTAACATCAATGACTGATTCATTCCTGATTCATTCCTGATGCATTCAAGTGGCGTGAGTCATCATATTAAAGCAATTTTTTTTTACTATTTGGAAGTGACAATAAGAAACAAATGTGAAAACTCATCTTAGGTATCTTGCAATGTAAAAGGAAATAATCGGTATAAAATTGGTTTCTTTCTTCTTATTCTTTTCACGAGAAAATAAATGTTTATCCTTTCTACAGCCTGGCGCAACTTCCTTTAACGAAAATAACACATTTTTCTTATTTATGAGATTTGTATTGAAATAACATGTGTTATATGTCTTTATAGATGGTATCAGTCAAATTAATTTGTGAAAATAGCGTATCATGTATTTGCCTGCCATTTATTTCATGATCGGGATTTGTGTCACTCGTGCACATTACGTTATCTTATTAATAGTTTCGCTTGCGTGATTCTCAATAATAAATTCACGCCACGTAGCTAAACTCAAATTTCAGTATTGCGACACGCGATATTTTACGCAAGCGGTAGTTACTGACAAATTTATTGCCACTATTCCGGCATTTGCTTTCATTACCGTGAACTATATCTTTTAAATAATGTTCACATACATGTTCTACATTATTTGCGGTACAAGTGGTTATTATTTTCGTCTGGACTGTAGTTTATGATCCAAGAATAATATAAGTGATTTGAACTTGCTTTATAATATTTACGAAATGCCGGAAAGATCATTGCATCATTAAATGCAACTCCGTGAAAAGAAAGTTTACGCTAGAGAAATAAGAGAAAGTACGAGACACGGTAGTATCTATTTTTTCGCTTTCATTTATTATTTAAAAGATCTCTTATGTAAAATTAATATTTTTGGAAAATGTAAGAAAAAAACAAGTCTCAATATTATTTAAAACATCGTGTTAATCTTTAAATTTTATCATTTTCGTCGAATAAAGAGTACCTAACTCTAATTTCAATCTAATTTTGTAGAATAAAACGACCTTAATTTTAATCTTACAAAAATGTGAGAAGAAATGTCAATATCTTATAAAAGTATATCTTACAACAGTTGCGTCAATATATAGATATCAATACATCTTGTTGTGCTATAATCGAAATTTTACGTTAAATAATAATTAACGATTGAAAATAAGTTTTTGGTGATAATTCACTTAGCTTTAGTAATAAAAATAAATAACATAATCATCTCTTGGTTTACTTTACTTGAGTTTAAATATATTCTAATTTGAAACTTATAGAAAAATATATAACATTAAATAAAATTGTGTAAACGTGCAATATATATATATATAGTAGGTATAACATTTTCGATGAGAAAAATTATCTTTGAATGGAGGTTCTAAAAGCTATTAACCAGGTGGTTAAATATTTCCTGTTTCCTGTTTCTTTTTTTTTTTTAATAATGTTGCGTAAAGCCGTATAAATACGATAAACAATACTGTTTGAAATCCTTTATTTCACACGTCTCAGTTCGCTGCGTAATGCAACACAAAATTTTAATTGTTTGCTGCATTAATTGTTGAATTTTCGTTCATATTATATTTTGAAACATTTTTTTATTTGCGTCTTTATTTTCAAAATAATACCATGTGCGTACTTGCATACTTCAGTATCTTATACATAATTATGAGTAAGGATAAGAATATAGGCTCAAGTAGTTCCAGGAATAAATAATTGGGAAATTAAGTAGTTTAAAACTTATTTATTGAACATGACATAAAAATCACGATACATAATAATGATAAACCGAGGTCTATTGTAAGCTTCAAAAACTTTAGATATATTATTTATTTATAATTTTCCAGTGCAATATGGCGCGCGCGCGCATTTTTCGCGTGGGTATGTGTGTGTGTGTGTGTATGTTGTGTATGTATTGTGTTGTGTGTAAACTCCTTATCAAACTCTAACGATGATTACTTTATACCTATATGCATAATCATTACGCATGGAATGTGCACGCATCTTCTCGCTTTCGCTCGCATCTCTCTTCGACTACAAAATTCGCGACTAATTAGCGATCTCGACGACGATACGATAACCTATCTCCATCTTCGTGAAAGTGATTCTTCGTCTGAATTTCGATTTCGCGTCAACATTTCCTCTCATTCAAATCTAGCGAATTGTCAAACTAAAAATTTACATTTTGCGTAGGATAAACAAATCGTGGACAGTCATCGGCACAAAGAACAGAGATGTACAAAAAAGAACCTTATTGAAACAACGTTAATAGTCAAGCCGATACTGAGTGAGGTTTGAATCAATAAGCAGTAAAGAACAGGGTTATTATTAATTTTCGATTTATACACGAACGTACTTACATAAGAGTCACTGCAGCGTCTACCATTATAATCCTACGTTCTAACTTGTATCAAGACTTACTGAGAGGAATTTTTTTCAACATTTTTATTTGCCTGAGGAAAAATATCAGAAACGTGGCTTGGTATAAACGTTAATTCGTTCGTCGAAGTTTTCTTCTTTATATTGCTTTTGTAATTATGTCGCTGCCAAAGAAAAGCTCAGAGAAAACCAGATAGATTTCGAGAATTCATATATATAATCGATCATTGGCACGAATCGGTATCGTCGTCAGCGCTAAAGTCCAACGGAAAAAAGAAAAGCGAACGGGCTCCTTCAACACATATGCGATCCGTCGAAAAATAAATATGTCATTGTAGACTGTAGAGAGATAGTGTATGAGTGAAGGGGAAGAACAGATGAGACGGCTTGATTCGAGCGCGCCAAATGAATGGGGGATCCCCGATCGGGTCCCGCTCTACGCTACTTTTTTGTTGCTTTATTAATAATTGTGGGCTTTTGGCAGTGATATTCAATCGTCATGACTGAGGAGAAAGTACTTAAGTGATCGACGACGACGTTGGGCTTCGTTGAAGTAATCGCAAGTATTACTTTTGCGAGAAACGAATCTTTTTTTTTGGTGTATAAATTAATTTTCGTTTAATGAAATGTCTCAAAACCAAATACAATTTAAATATTACTGTTCGTCTCTCTGGACATTTATAATCCTCTTCCGAATTCACATCGCGTATCGACAAGAATATATATAATTTCCATATATATGTAGTATGCGGCGAGCTTAATATCGTGTTAACCTTTGCCGAAATGATTGATGCTGCAAAGAGGAAAGAAAGGACACGGGGAAATGTTTCTCGCTCTGTAAACTTGCAAAGGTCTTCTCCTCAGACACGCGCTAAAAATCCGCTCAAAATGTCCCGAGTGTGAAGTATAACAAATAACCATAAAACAGTAGTAGTAATACAAAAAATAGTCAAGTCATCGCGTAATAAATAATATATATACGTATACATATATTACGCGCGTATGCATGCATATATATTATTTATTCTCTATATATTATATAATGTATACATATATCTCTGCACGTGTATAGCTTTGCAATCGCGTTGCGACCGTAGAATGAAAGTGGATCGAGAGATCGTGGCGTTAAACGAAAATACATCTCTTTCGAGATCTCTTTCATAATTAAACAGCTTGAATCAAAGTGAGGATTGTACACGCTTAATAGGAAATTCAATGCATATTTCATTAATAAGGAGCGTAGAAAAGTCCCAATCCACGTTTACTCCGCGGTCCGAGGCCGCCGTAATGAATAGATCGTATATATTTTATATCTCATCAATTTCTAAATTCTAATAACACCTTTTTTTAATCAGTACGAATTAATCGGCGAAACCTTGGGAACGCGCGCGCACGAAATTGGATCGCGATATCCAGCTTGCACCAATGGCAGTACCGAGTCACGAAAGAGATAAATGTTAAGACAACGAATGCAAATAAAAAATAAAAATATATAAGCAAGAAATATCGTGTCAAGTTTTAATCAATTGTCGACAAGTTTGTCATAGTAGAGCCAAGTGCCAAAAAGCTTCAAACTTAAAAATCGTAGTTTCCAATTTAATCATTAAAGTAAACTTAATGTAACGTTACGGGAGCTTTCCCAGAAGGCATAATATTATTATATATAAATCTATTATATATAATATATCTGCAATTTATATAGAAGTGCAAAATGGATTAAATACGATCCCGTTGAACGTCGCGTGTCCCAATGCTCCGCCCAGCACCACGGCACATTGTCCTATACTTATTGATATTTATATTATTATTTTTTGTCTCTGTGTTCTTTTTTGTTTCACTAAAGCAGTCTTACATAAAGCGGCAACTTTTGGAAATTATTCGGTACATGTCTCCATACGCAAAATGAATCCTCAATCTGCTTTAGCACATATCGACCGACGTAAGCAATCCTCTCTTTTTTTTCTTTTTCTTCCTCTCCCTTTCTCTTTCTCTCCCTCTCCCTCTTTTCTTCATCTTCATCTCCCTGCTGTTTGTACCCGAAGAGAGAAATGTAGGTTGAGCTACGCAAATTTTCAAAATTTTCCGCGTGACGTCTACCGACTAAACTTTCTCTTATTTTAAATTTGACGTGAGTCCGAAAGCGCGAATCGGTTCATGCTAATCTGTTCTTTCTTGTATTATTTCACTTTTTATATTAAATCGAATTAAGTCGGATTCTATGCCGTGTGGATCGTACTTTTAAAATCTGTTTGAAATTCTGACAGAAAATAAATAACTTGTTACTTTTTTTTTTTTAGACAATTATAACCGATAGACGCTTTCGGAGTTCAGACTCTTAATATTATATACACGTTAAAACGGACGTAAACGACTTCAAATGCTCGTGCGTCAGAATTCTTTCGTTTTTTTTTCTCGAAAAAATTCAAAAGCAACGCTCTTTCTCTTTCCTGAGAAAAAAAATTTATCTCCTCCTTATTGGAGCACCCTCGTGTTGTTCAGCCCAACCAAATAGAAGAACTCGTCATTTCGGTTTTCAAAGAACGCTGGTCTGCGATCTTTGAAGAATCGAAGCGTTCATCTCGTCCTAATCTCTATCTCTCCTCTAACCAGTTAATCGTTGCAGAGTAAATTCTACCTTAGCTTACGGTATCACAGAGTTACGCGGCATCGCTTAATTGCTCCCAGTTCGTAATCGCCGATACGCAACCGATAGAAAGAAAGCATGTAAATTATGCCCATCACGAGGAAAAACCGGAACTTTTGTAAAGTGCAAAGAACATCGAGTGTTAACCAATGTCCTAACAAGAAAATGAATTTAATTTGATCATTTAATCATTGAAAAAGTTGTATTGTATTATTATATAAATTGAAATTTATATTACTGTTAAATTTTTTCAAATTTTAAAATATATAGTTTCTGTTTTTGATATGTTTTACTCGGTATTTGTCATTTAATTGATTAATCCACAAGAAAGAAACTTTTCTCATTTATTAAAGTCGTGTAACAAAATATCTTTGGAATGACACATTCTTGGCGAAGAAGAAGATATATTTCTCTCAAGAGAAATTTCATAACAGAAGTATAGAGCTTTTTTCTCGTAACACTCGAAGTTCGTTGCACGTGTGATCTGCAAGGGGCACACGTCCCTCTCCCGCACCTCCTTCTCACCGACTGACTCGACTTGTAACGCGAAACAATACACTATATAGATATATATATTTATATATTACATGTGACAAAATTAACAAGCGGTCTGTGGAGACGACGCGAAACAACAGATACGAGTAACTCGGGCGCGCGAGGAATTCCTCGGGGGGAAAACGTTGTGTACATCTTCGATGACGTGCGAGGAGTGACGATTCGTTTAAAAAAATATCTTCACCCGGCCCACGCGCGATTTGAGAAGAGCCGAAATCTACGGAACGATAGCGTCCGCGAATCGCGCCTTTTACAATGCGACACGCGTGCACCGAGGAATGCGTCGTTAATGATACCGGATGCATCTGTCATGCTTCCCCATAGGCCGCGCCGTGCACTTTAACGCTATCATATCATGCGCCATGTAATGTGAAAGAAACAGCAATATATCGTTCGATAACTTGATATGCGTCAATAATTGTTCGATACCTTTCTAATTTTCTTTAGAGAAACAGTCGCGAGAGATTCATGCTCGAAATGTCTCCGAAGAAATTTAAAAATGTCAATCAAGTATCTCGAGTTTATTTATATCCGCAGAATACGATCAAAGTTGTTTCCGTGCAATGATACTTGCATCAACCGATGCTGTTTTTCAGATGTTCGTGCACATTACTCGACGCATCAGTTCTACGCGAAAGATGCTCCTCGTAGTTAAGTATGATACAATTAATATAATTTTGCGACGTTGAACAGGAAAGACACACGTGAAAATAATATCGGTTCTCTTAGGCTTCGCACGCTCGATGATCCGACCCGAAGTGCGCGCGCATGTGCGCACATTCATACGCGCTCCTGAATTACACGAGCAGTATTCTTCCTCCGCACGACAGGAATCCGATCCCGCAAAGGCGAGAAACTGCCGTTGCTGCTTCCGGCACGCAAACTCGAACCTAATTCGAACAACAACGAATGAGCCTCGCTGCTGTTTGACACTACGATAAAAACGACATTTTCGCGGCGCTTCTTACGCTAACGACTCTCTCTTTTGTACGTTGGCCCGTATTCGCACCGCGCATCTTGCGCCGACTCTGTCCTCATTTCATGCCGAATATATACTTCGTGTATTAATTAAGCAAATAAATAATGCAACCGGAACCGAACAGAGTCGCGCTTAGCGCGCTAAAAGTACGAGCCTCTTTAACGGTTTTTTGCGTGACGTATACTGATTAGAGAACGCTTTTCAGTCTAGGTTGCGAGAAAGTTAATTGGATGTTACGATTGGAGATATGCGGTTCTGTTTCCACGGTTAACGTGTTCCACGCGAAGGTAATTTTTAAGTGAAGAAATAATAAACGCATCAGCATCAAAAGGATGCCTAAAAGATGCTCGAAAGATGCCGAAAAGATTAGGGGGTATAGAGGAACATTTTAAAACGTTAGAATAATTTTTGTACTAATTTATGTCAGATTTTATATATACCAGATTATTATGTCAGATTCTTATACCAGATTTGAATTTCTTTCGGGCATCTTCATGATGTCCTTCCCACGGAAACCGGAAACACCTTCGCGCCCGCTGAATGTCTTTCTCTCTCTTCGATCTTCGTTCCCGATCGTCCTACGTTAGGAAAAGAACAACGTATAGAGCGCGACGCGCACGAGAAATCACGCGCGCGATTAAGGAACTTAACATTTAGGTCTGGCAACTCAAATGACTATTCCGTAACCGCGACTAACCGTGAGTCCGCGACATTCAACGTGCGAAACATTCGCGATTCGTGCGATCTCGATACGTAATCCTGTTTTATTATTATGTACCTCGCTTCCTTCCGCCGACTCCTTCCTCCTTCACGATTATCCTTCGACTCTCGAATCTCGATGATTTCCCGAAATCCTCGCTCTCACTTCGATCGACCGATCGGTTGCGACTCTTCCGTCCTCCTCGCTCCTTTCCTCCTGCCTCCACTCTTTTCTCTCGCCATCTTAAACAGATTCTCAAAATCCAAGAGAACGTAAGATCAGATTCTTGCTCGATATTGGCTCATCGATATTGTTTGGCCTTTATACGCCGACGTTGTCACGAAACTGGATGCCATCTTACAGATATTGCGGTCCAAAAGGAACGTCCCAAGCAGCTCTCTTCGCCCTCTCGAATGCTACCATCGTGCGATCGCTCGATCGAGTCTCTCGACCCGCGAAGATTCTTGACATGATCGACTATCGATATCCAGCGAGCCGAACAACGCGGCTCGAGGACCGTTCAACCATCTTCTTCTCTTCCTTGTCCGTACTGGGCTAACAAACTTGAGCGTGCTCGCTTTCGAACTGAACGTGTGCGAACTTTCTCTCTTCCTTCTTCTTTCATACATTCGTGCATCTTCTTCTCTCTCGATTCTTCTCCCTCGTATTCGCACACATTCCCCGTTTCCTCCGTCATTATTATCTCTTCCTCCTTTCTTTCTTCTTTACCAAGCTGAAGGCCGATCCGGACACGAGCGTGCCACCACGTTGCGGCTCGACTCGGATACGTTAACGGGTGCCGAAGTGCGTCGGATCTCGATCGGTTTCGAGCCGGACGCGGGCGGCCGGCCCAAAACCCCTTGACTGTTTCACGATAGGTTCCGTTGATCTTCCGCGCAATCTTCCGCCTTCTTCAACGAGCGCTTTAGCTTGTCGACCAGTCGATTATGGAACTTGTTGAGGGAGTTTGAGCTGCCGGTCTTCGGCGGAGACGTGCCTGTGCTCTTGCTCGGGCTCTGAAGAGAGCTCTGGGACGCCCTCGAGGACGTTCTCGAGAAGTGCCGCGAGGTCGTGGACCGATGCGCCGGCGAGGTGAGAAAATCGGAACCGGGGGAGGTCGACAATGACGGACCCTCCGACTTGGAACATTCAGACACCTGCGATCAGAAAAATGTATGTTCCGGATTATAGCACGAGGAAAACTTCCTGGCTAAAATTTTCCATGATTACGACAGTAATCAGCTCGTTTTTAGTTATCGCTGTCTTATCATGTGCATTATTAGCATTAAACTTATAAAGATCCTTTTTATAAATAACTTTTATACGTATGTATTTATTTCTTGATATATAGCTGAAACACTAATAACTGTTATTAAAAGAAACAAATGCGTCACATGTATATACTTCATCGAATTAGAATTCTAAATATTGCCTTATTAAATTACGCCAACAGAGCTCTTTTTAATTGAATAAAATATCGGCTACATCTGATTTTAGATAGAGCATTTGAAACGTATTTTAAAACCGGTCTATCTTGAAGAGATATGAATTATTATACCTCTTTTTTTTAAATTGATGGTAATAAGGAAAAAGAAACGACTTTTTCAGTCAGTTACCTGAGTAAATTTCTACAGAGCGAGCGCCGAGTTTATTCAGAACAATATATTTCGCGCTTATTTATACGCACGAAGGATAAAGTTAACAGGTGTCTGAATTATCGCGGATTCGGCCGTACGTTGATGAAAAGAAATAAAATGAAATAAGTACCTAAGTGCTTTTTTTGGCTGTAGAATGTTTATTTTTCCCTGTATATAAACAGACTAATATATCTCGCAATTAGTCTCTATCGTATGATAACGATTAAATATAAAAAAAAAAATATATATGTATAACTTTGTTTTGTATATGATACATAATGAAGAGTTAATTTCCGTCACGGATAATGCGTTCTACCGTTATAAAAACGCGTGAACGGGATATTTTTAATCAACTCTTTGTCCTTCCATGTCGATATTTAGAGCCAACTCGAGCACGTGACATTGAAAGTTGCAAGTACGCAGTACGAGACAGATACGATTATTACTGCCAGAACGCATTCTGGCCATTAACACAATCTCACGAGAAATCATTACCAATTATATAACGCGAAGCTGTTAGTTTGTACACTGCGCATTTTTTAATCCATGCAACGTGCATGGATTATCGCGATATGGCTATATCAACGCCTATAATTATAACCACGCACACACTTTCGTCGAGCTTTTTTTGTTTACGCGGATCATATCGGAGAACTGCTAAAAAATGTCCAAGAAATTTGTTAATAATGCTGAATTTAGATGTAAATTTATGCATTTAGATTTACATATAAATTTCGATAACAATATTCCAAAAATCTCTGTAAATCATATTCGAATTAATTCCGAAAGCTGGCAATAAATGAAATGTATGACTGCTGGCATTAATAATCAAAATACATTTAATTACGGAATTAATTATTTCGATTTGTTTGAAGAATTAAATTAATATATAATGTCAAATTATTATTTGTTTTTTTCTCAGGTAATTATTTAGAAATTCAATTATTTCTGCAATTTGTTACAACATTTGTAAATGGGGGAAAAGAAACTGTACGTTATCTATTATTGATTAACTTTAAGCTATGCACAGATGTTAATTATTAAACGAGAATAGATTTATTCATTGCGGTCGATGTGAAACTCGGAATATTAATGAATCGTTGAACAAACGAACTGTGGCAAACAGGTTCCGAACACCTGTTCTGAACTTGTCCTAATACACCGATAACACGGCGAATCGATCGTTGTTCTTATTTTCAATACTTCTATTTTTATCTCACTTTAACGCTTCGATAAGAGGTTCTTTATAAATATGAGTCAGGGATCGCGGTAAGATTAAATGAGAAACATTTATAGACAACAAACTTCGTTTGCGCGCGTGTATCAGTACACATTGCGTCGCATTTCGCTTGTGATATGTGGATTGCGTAACCGCACGTAATACAACAGCGAGAGTAGATTCGGTGAGGTTGGAGCCGTAGACGGAACGAGTTAGTCGCAGTGACAATAAAGATTATATTTGAATAAGGATTATATTCATCGAGAATTTTAAATAATTTATTTTAGCAAATAATCTTTACGCATCTCACATGTCTACTAGAAATTTTGGAAGATAACTGTAATATGGCAAAATATTAAGAAATTTTAGCATGTTTAGAAAATATAAAGTTTTTTAAAATAAAGAAAATTAAAAAAAAAACGCTTCATTAAATTTTTATTAGAATATAAGAACAGATATTCTTGTTTTTTATTTAAAAATAAAATTTCTTGGTGATAAATAAAATCTATTTCAGAGAATATGAGAATCACTGCGTGAACTAGCTATCGTCATTCGATCTCATTTGCTGTTACTGTGTATGTGTAAAAGGAGGGAAGCTTACACACGAAACAAATCTGACCTAATCGGCCACTTACCGCTGCCTACCGTGATGACAATACGAGCACGTGGTCGCAAGTTCAGCGGGGATCGTACGTGGAGAAGGGCACGTACGCCGCGCCGCGGCCGTAAGCGCGATGAATGTATTACGCGTGCGTCATATGCGCGATACGCGATACTTTTTCCGATCTTTATCGCACTTCGGCGCTGAATAATTCAAGATGACTCGGCCTGTCCGCGTCATCTTGAAGGGCCTTCGAGAACCTTGCTAGTATCGTGCCCGTAGTATTCCCTCGATAGCTACGTGTGTCGTGTGCGCAATATGATAAAGATAATATAATTAGGGAAAATGTATGAACGCATATATTACTGACTATCCTACACGGAGAAAATTTTATAGTAAATATTACTATGGTGTCGCACTAGCTGCGGTCCATCAAGACGCACAGTTTAAATGCTATAGTCTTATAGTAAAATTTACTATGTCCATAGCATTTAGTGCTATAATTATAGCATTGAATGCTATGATCGTAGCATTAAATGCTATGGACATAGTAAATTTTACTATAAGACTATAGCATTTAAACTGTGCGTCTTGATGGTCCGCAGTTGGTGCGACAGCATAGTAAAATTTAATATAAAATTTTCTCCGTGTATTTATAAATAGAGGATTGATTTCCTTGGAGCTATAAGAGCTATTGCGATTTTAAGTTTTGATTGTCTCAAAATATCCTGCTTGTAAATTATGTGATGCTGTGCAATTTGTATGTAATTATGTATTTATCATGCAAATTCCGCGTTACGATCCAAAAGGATAAACTGTTTACTATTTTAGCGTCTTTTCTGCAGGCGAATATATAGATATTCCGAAAAAAAATGAGAATTAACAGCAAAAATATATTTCTATTTGAAACATGAGATTAATTTTTTAAAGGAAAGTTCAGAATAATTTATTAAAATATTGATTATAATATAGATTTGGACTCAAGTCATTAAAGTAGATTTAAGCTTGAAGCAATTGAGATGAGGTGATTTTATTGTGTCCTTCCGTCTCGATTCTCATGGTAATCGGTTATCTCAGCTTTGTGCGCGGCGTGTCTTTCGTTTTTCCAGCCTGCTCGAAGCGTTTATTTTGAAAACGGATTCTGTCGTGTTACATGACTTATTAGATTAGAAAGGTGATGAGATTAGATATCGATACGAGAGAGCTGCTGTTTTATCAGCTGTTGCCAAATTTGCCGGTTCTTTCAAAATAAACGTCTTACTTGATTCTTTTATTTAACAAATAGATAGGGAAAATGATATTCGCGTCTTCACTTTTTGCCGATCATCCTTTGTGCGTCGTTTCCATCTACAAACCACCGGCTTTCGTACTTTATCCTCGCTTTAAGTGTAGCAGGCCAAGTTCAAGAAACGGCATCGCGAAAATACTCAGGGCGCAACCGAAGATTGTTAACTTTACATAAAATGAAAACAGTTATGTCACCTCGTCGCCTTGTGCCTTGCAAATATTCTTTTCACTCGCGCATGACTCTTGTCGCGATTCTTGTTAAAACCGTAATATTCCCGTAATAAAGCATTCTCTTCACGGTTGGAGAGTTATGGAATTATTTCATTCTTGCGCCGAGTCTTTTAAGAAGCTATCATTAACTACATGAAAAAGGTACAAATTTAAATTTTTTTTACAAAATAGTTTTTTTTTCTTAATATTATATCTAATCATAATTTAAAATATTATTGCAAATGAGAAAAAACTTTATGAGGGAACTTCACGTCTAGCGTATTATGCAACACATTAGGTAACACAAAATTCTATTATTATCAGCAAATTATCGTTATTACTTCACGAAGAAGTGTAGAGAATTTATCAAAGGATTTAAAATATGAGCATAAGAATAGAAAACTAACAATGAAACTCTCGTCACAATGATTTCTTACAAATTATGCGACTGAAGAATATTTAAATATGGATTTTCAATGTGTCAAAATACGTTAATTGGTTTAAACTAACAGCGAATGATTCATAGAATTATATATGACATCATAAACAATTTTGGAAAATCCAAATTTTATCCGAGTTTTATATGATATCAATATTGATAATCAATCTTTTGAAAGATTATTAATTTTAATTGTCAGCAAGATTAAATACGCGATATATAAATGTACACTATTATATTTTATTACGTATTACGTGATTATGAATGAATGGATCGACAGATGAGGGACTTTTGATAACTGAGAATCTCACCGTATGAAAGTTCACCGCATGATACATTGCAAAACCAACTGACCAAAGCTTGCGCAATGCCGCGTCACATGTATAAAGTACATGGTGTTCTAAACCTATAGGGACGTCTGTGTCCATTAGAAATGATTGAACAAACAATTTATTTCACTCTCGTATAAATCTGATCACTATATGATATAAACGTCTCAATTTACCTCGACATTACTTTAATCTTGAATTTAATTTATATCATAAATAAAATCTGTTTATAAAATTATTTAAAAATAATTTATAATTAAATTGTAATAGTTAATATTTGGTCATTGTTTTGTTTATTCATTCTCTGATATTCAATTACTCAGACTTCGAATTTAAAAAAATTTTTACTTAGGATAAGTATGCCCGTCAAAGATATATACATATATAAGATATTCGAATAAGACGGAGTAATAAGTGACATTTGCATAAGAAAATACTATGGTAAATAAAAATATTATTATTATTTGCCCGAACTTCTCATATAGGTATCTATTGGCGCATTAATGATTATGATAATTCCGCGCGTATAACTCTCGTTAACCCTCCGTAGGTGCGTAGGGTATCTTACAATTTTACACCCTACAACAACTTGTAAACTATGAATGTTCTAGACTTATTTTAATACAGAACCGATTATTAAAAAAAAAAAAAAAAACATTAAAATTGAAATTTCAATATGTTAATATGCTTTAAGATATGTGCAACAATGAATAATATTAAACAGAAAACAACGAATATTAATTGATTTAATATTTATAGTTATAATAAATAACGTGGAATGTAATTTACATCTCACGCGCTCTTTTACGTTTGAAATTCTCACGCGCTTACTGGAGGGTTAATTAATATTTGTAATTGCCGTTGTCACGGTACACTGTAAATTCGTTTCATACGTAAATGACGGATAAATACAAAAGTCGCAATGCCATCGGCGACATTTGCGATAACATTTACGAGCGCAGTAAACCGCGTATCGTATGCAATTCGACATTATGCGCATAACTGCCTACGTCGTGATAAAAATAAACTAGCCGGCGCACATATCCGCCGGGACACGTGGTTCCGATCGTCACTTATTATTGACTGTGCTTGTTCGGTGTCTGCAAATACAATTTCGCCGAACGTTTAGCGACGCCAAGGGGAAACCGGTTCCGAGTGCGGCGAGTTGATCTTTTACGGCAACGATTTCACGAGAAAAAAAGGCCCGACTTTTTCCGAGCTATTTTATCGACGAATGCCGGACGCGAAGAGAACGATTGACGTTGAAGTTTAGAAGAAGCTATCAATCTCCATTGCGGCATATGTCGCAAACTTTCTCGCGGTTAAAATTTCTATGACAGAGATAACTTCTCTTTAATGTAAACTCGGAAAATTTAATTTAATATTTTAAAAACCATAAGAGAACTTTTACAAGTTCAAAACATCCCAAGTTAATACGTACGAAATCTTTCTATTCTAGCCAAACTCGTTATTGTCAGATTAATTTTACGTTAACGAAATTTTAGTTCTAGAGATACGTAATTCGAAATTAATTCTCATACTCTCAATTATTCTGATCTTGATGTGAAAAGATTTGAGAAGATTTGAGAAGATTTGAGAAGATTTTATAGTACGCGTCTTTATCGGAATTTGGATTTAACTATTTGGCAAAAATTTAGATTTACAATAAAATCACCTCCGTTGTCCTTTCATCATGTCACAATTTTGCGAAGACCGACGGAGACCTTGTGCAATTTTTTCGCGTCGGTCCGCAATCCCAAAATCGTGTAAAAACTACGTTCGACAAAAAAATATGCGCATTACGATTTTCCTTAGGCTAAAAGGACATTATTTTCGGTGCACGTTTTCAATGCTGTTGCGCTGGTCATACGCGCAACGATATAATATGCGGATGACGCATCAAAATCGGTCGCTGGCGCCAGCATTGTTAAAAGTCACCGTCTCTTGCAATTTTGTAAAACGGTATCCCCACTACGCATGTAAGTTTTCAAGAGAGAGATTAGATTATCTTGCAAACTTATTTCTCTCTCTCTCTCTCTCTCTGTCGTACATTACCGTCGATAAGCGATTAAAGTAAGTAATATATATACATACTTAACAATGAAGACGCGCAGTTACGTCACTGGCGCTCTGTCGACATGAACTGGATTGTTTCAACAACCGTTTGTTATCTAAATTCAGTATAATATCTTGCAAATATTAAAATCGCCTTGGAGAGCTTCGAAATTTTGTGACGCGTTGAAACAATCACGCACCATAATTAATGTTTATCAACATCCGATCTTTTTTCGGCGGCTTGTATCACTATGTTATGCAACGGTTCGTACGATACGAATGAAAAGATTAAACTCCTATTCTTTTCAATACGAAACGAAAAAAAGTCGTGCACAAAGTCGTACGCGATTTTCTTTCGCGTCCATTGTCTAATACCGTATATGTTAATTTTCTTATCCGTGATAGCGTGATATTATAATTTTTATACTAATTTTCTCGAAGAATCATCTTCGTGTTTTAAATATATTGCCAATAATGCACATAATTGCCTACATTAGAGTACTTTTTTTATATTTGGTACAGCGTTTTTCAACTATAGCGCTTTGCGAAACGACAACATTTGTTAGACTTTTAGCAATTTTATATTTCTCAAGAGAGAGTTCTACTATTTAATGTCAATTTCGTTTCATGTACTTATTCATTATACGGACGTCACTTTTAAAATAAATATATTTAATTATCATTATTTCAACAAATAGCATAAATAGGTTAAATCGATGAATTTTCAAGTAGAAAAAAAATTGAAAGTGGCGCCTGTATAATGAATAAGTTACCCGTTTTACATTTCTACCTACTTTGTATCGTAAATAGAGGCACGGAAATTTAAACATAAATGATGATGACATATGCGCGTCTTAACGGTCCCGCAATTTTCCACCTGCCTCACTCACGTCAGTCGAGAGAGCGTTCGGTCACTCGAAGCGTATTTGAAAAAACGCCGCACCGTGTAAAGTAAACGTCAATTCACTCACCTTCCGGCTGCGACAGGCCTGCGGATTCGAGCACTCGGACGACCGCCGATTCCGATTAGTCTTGTAAATGTCCCATTCGTTTTTCACCACGGGCATCATAAACGCCATCTCGTCGGCTTTTATTGTCCCGTCTCCGTTTCACACGTCTGCTCGGTCGGCTCGTCCCTCCCTTTACCTTCTTCTTTCTCTGTCGCTCTCGTAGCTTCTCGTAGCTTATCCTGACTTCTCCTTTTCTAGAAAGTTTTGACACCTTGCTATGCGAGAATGAGAGAGAAGGCCGATCTTTACACTGACGTGTCGGCAGGTTTTTGTTCGGATTCTCGACGCTGATTCGCGATCGCACAATTCCGCTTCGTGATTAATCGCGAGCGATGTCGATTCACGTTGACGATGCTGACGACGTTGACGTCCGTGACGACGACCGTTACGTCCTGCAGATCGAACTGGAAAAAGTTAATACACGTCGCGCTTGCACAAGTGCGTTTGCGATGTGTGCGTGCGTCTTTCTTTTCTCTGTTCGTTTCGTTTAGCTATATACGGCGTATTCGCCTATTCCGGCAATTCGTTTCTGAACTTCACGTCCGTACAATGCGGCAGTTCGCTACGGAATAAGCACGCCGGTCCGGCGCGTGGACGAGCGAGGGTCTCGCGAGTCGTGACGGAGACTGGTGGGAACGGACGAGCGCATCCATTGGCTGCTGTTGAGGCGGGACACCTACGTCACGAGTTACCATTGATTTTTCAATGTTGATACACACAGCGGCGTGGTGACGAACCGGATTTAATTTTTGGCGGCGCGACGTCTTATTAGTTAGCGGAACAAATTATAAAGAACTAATTCTAACTAATATTTGTTGCTCATTTGTTGCTAAAAAGTTGCCAAAGAAGAAAAAATTGGTTGCTCTGTAAGTTTTCTTAAAAAAATTGACGTTCTGCTAAAGAAAGATTAAGTTAGCGGGTCAATATATAAATGTTAGCGTACGTTTTTACTAATCGAAGAAACGTAACGATTCTTGGATAAAGCCTTTCTGAGCCTTTTTTCTCGTGTAATTTATGTTTGAGTCGATTTATGTTTGAGTACTTTTTAATGAAAAGTAGATCACAGCGGATATACTGAATAGTTCAAACTTGTGAAAATATTGTTTTGTTAATGATACCACGTACCTAAATGTAATTTTTAAAACAGGTAAAAAAAGGCGCCAAGTACACATTTACAATATAGATTAATGATAGGTACGCGCGATTCACTTACGTGTACAAGATAAACGTCTATTGTTTTCTATTTTGTATATCTTCAGTATAATTGTTTTTTTTATTTGGAGGGGTAAAAGCCATAGGGGTGTAAGTCAAATTTTTTAAAATATTTACACAGCACTATAGCTTTTATCTCTCTATTTAAAGGCGCACATTATGTCATTGGTCGATGTTCGGTTGAATTTGTTTGGCCGAAACGGTCGTTTACTGTAAGTTTTAACACGATATCATGTACACGGTTTGGCGTGAAAACGTGAGCTTGTGTTACCGCAGAGAGAAAAAAAGACTTTAAAAATCTCGAGATTTCCCGTGTACAAGGATTTTCACGTAAATTTAACAATGTAATAACTTGGAAAGCGGTACTTGTGCCCGTATCAACTACAGGTTCTTAGAGGTGCGCTCAGATCGCCATTGATGCCATTTGGTTACTGCAGAGCGCACCAGCCAGCTGACATCAGATTTTGCGAGATTGCGAAAAGAGAAAGAGAGAAAGGGAGAAGATTAATTTTAATTTCTTCTAATTTTATTTTAATTATTTCTGTTGTTAATCGTTTAATTAGCTATTTTATTAAAAATAATTTGTTTATTACTTTCATGAAATTTCTCAGATATATCCAATTCAGCATTAATGTATTCGTCATATATACGAGCGTGTTTGTCTTTTGACATAATCTTTATTATTACGTATAGATCGAAGGAAAAAGGCTATTCGTAGATAGATACCAAGTAATTCGAGCTACGAAAGAATCCACCTGATTTCGCGGTATTGTATAACACACAATCGTTATTACGCGGAATCATACCGCGCGTTATTGATACATCCTAGCTGTTATCCATTCCGACGCGTACGACTTTCGAAGATTTCGAATCAGGCAAATCTTAATGTGCCTCGGCTCGTCATCTTAGCACATGTGTCGCGATACGTTGAAATTAACGTCGTTAAGTCCGTTCGGTTACGTGACGTTCCGCGCGTAGACCTGCCTACCGAGAAAATCCATTCGTCTTCGTTTAGCGTCGGCGTGCGTAAGCTGAAATCGTTAACGGCAATCCCTCTCACATTTCCATTCAGCTACGCAGCTTCAAAGACGAACGCATGCACATGTTAGCAACCAGCGAGCCGTCCGACTTCGATAAGCGGTCGCAACATCTAAACTTTAATGCTAGCTCGTTTACTTACATCTTTATTATCACGCGACAGTCAATCTCGACAACCGTCGCGTTTCGTTAGTGTTAATTTAACGACGTCCTAGCGTCGATTAGATTCATATCTTCGCCCTAATCACGTAACCGTGAAATGTGAACGGTACGAGCCCCCACGACTCTGCGCTTTTGTCACGACTATAGGCGAGAAAGCTTCGTCGATAATGATCGGACGAGGCGGCTCGGTGAAGCGGCGATCAGAGACACGCGTAATCGACCTTGCTACGAGGCCTGAGATTCTCAGCAAGGACGACATATCGCTCTGACAAGCTCGCTCCGCTCTCGTTCGATGCGCCTGTGCAGCCGATTCTGCTCAAGGGAAACCGGTATATTTGCTACGATCTGTTCACACTAGTTCTCCGCATTGCCGTGTCGCACGTGCTCGGCGATAATCGGTTACCGGCGAGCTCTACGTTGCCCCACGTGCTCTGCCTGAGATCGTCATCGGTCACGAGTTGCCTCAATGCACTTTTATTGACAGCTCATCGTCGTGCGAAGAAACGTAAGTTGCGTCAGAATCAAGCTTTGTCAGCAGATCGAGATAGGTATTGTTAAGTAAAAGAGATTTTAAATTATCAACTCAAAGAAAACAGTCATATTATTCCAGATAACTTGGCTGATTACTGAATTAATCAATAAACCAAGAGTATCTGCAGTAACGAGGCTGTTTTCTTATCGTTCGTATTCCTATTGTGAGATAAATTACTTGTTATAAAAAGCAAATTAAGTTTGAAGCTTTCTCCTTGTTTAAAGGAGCCTTTTCAGTAGCGAAGTTTCTTTGGTAAGATATAATTAAAATTGATGAGTCAGACATAGAATGCGAATCACGCTATGATATTGCAATTTAAATAAAGAATAATGATTATCTTGAAAAAACTGTTATTTGACTGATTTGACATCGCAGAAATAGCTCGAGATACAATTTATTTATTTCTACAAATATATAGCAACTGTATTAAATACTTTAATAAATTACCTTTTATTATATTTAGTAATTATTGTAATCGTAGAAAAAATATCATAAGCAAAAGACATGATAAGTTGCAAACGATTACAATACAGGTATTGCATCATCAGTCAATCTTAAGAATTAAGCGCAATACGTACGATTTAGTGTATTTAAGATGTCAAATTATTAATTTTTTGCTTAGAAAATTTTGTTTATAAAAAGTTAATAAATATAACGATATAATAAAAATTTACATCAGCGTATTTAAAATCCGATTTAGTCATGGTAATTTGCTCTCGTATACGTTTCGGTACTGCGACGAGGAGATCTCGACTTCTTCTTCGTCGGAAATCTGCGAGACTCGCGTCCCTTGAGTGTTCTGGCTCCCGTCATCATTTTCGAGCATCTTGCGTCGCACGGCGGAATATGAGCCCGCCGCGGCGCCGCGCGGTTCTGAATGAGAGCGGCGGCCAGGTCGCCCTTCCGCACCGCGCCACACCGTTACCCTTGTCCGCCCCATTCCTGCATCTACGCCGTACTCGAGTGACACTGAAAGCGCGGATGCAGAGAGCACTCCGGCGAATCGAAATCAATACCCCACGCTGGCCTACTACGCCGTGGCCTTCTTTTCAGTTAAATCCTTTTGCCGCCGTGCCGTGTCTAATGCGAGCGTCTATCGTGTCACTGATTTCATTATTATCGTACAACAAAAAATAAGCAAAGGACGCGCAACACGACGAAGTATCGAAACGCAATGTTTTAAATTTTTATACTTTCGAGGCAGTTTAGGTCTTTAAAATTAAACATTGACGTACAGTGCGTATTTCCAGAGTATAATTAGCATGGGCAATTAATATGTCTTTGACGAATTTGTAGAATCTATTTCTGTAGCGGAAGTTTTTTGAATTCAATATTCTTTCGTAATTACTTAACACATTCTCTATAAATATAAGATATTTGCAAACTAGAGATTTTTTTATACTTGTCTCTTTAAACTACGTCTTTATTTACAAAAGCATTTGTATAGGGATATGTGTGTGTGTGACATATAGATGTAGATGAGTGTCCTTGCGGGTCCGTGTTTTCGTTAACCCCAAATGACTGATGTGCGGATCAATCATCCTTGCGGCGACTTATTCGAAGCATCGATAGTTTAAAATCTGTGAGTGGCTAAAAATTACTTGCTGAGTCAACTCAATTTTATTTCACCATTTCTTAATATTAAACAAATATAAAGTGCAACATGATGATATAACATCCGTAGAATTCTAAACGTAAGACAGTAATTATTTGGTTTTGCTTGTTACCTATAAACAAAACTAATACCACTCATAATTCGCCGAATACACGTACACGTTAAGACCGTGTTAACATTATCTCTTTTCATGTTTTATCCAGCTTGTCTGTCGCGAGTCGCGAGTCTGTCGCCAGATTCTCCTCGTCTCAACTTTTCAGTGTGTGCGAGGAGCAACTTTATTCGTCCGCGCTGCTTAAATGTTTTGCAAGAATCTCGCTAAAAATATAATTCTTTTTTTAAAGACAAGAGACAAGAGAATATCTTTCTTTCGTCCATAAGACATTCCGTTCTGAAACGAGAAGAATGTTCCGTTGCGACGTTATGTAATTAGAACGGAACGTGGTTCTTTTTTCCTTTGCGTGAGTCAAGGGAAGAGTTTTACACTCGCTGTCTACGTCTCTTTTCTACTTATTTCTTAGAAAAGTAGGTCGACCGACGCGATATTTTCGTTTCGTACGTTTGGCAGATGCATTTTACAGCGCTACTTAATTCCGTGGACACGGCGCGTTGCTCGCACAACGGTCAATAATAATAATTGCTACAGCGCAAAAAGATCGGAGAGAGAAATTCTAATTGCAAGAGGGAAGGTACGGTTTTGCACATTGAAAAATTTTTAATGGAACATTCGATAAATAATCTAATAATTTAAATTGTGCGTTCAATTAGAGGAAGAGACCTGAATATTATTCCGTTCATGTAAAAGTTAAATAAGAAAATATTGATGAAGGGAAATACACACGAATAATTTAAAGTCAATAATACAGAAACGTTTGATACGACTCATATCGGTAAAAATTATTAATAGACACTAATGGCGTTCTTGTTTGTCTTTTAAATATGATGGGTAAGCAATTATGACAGTAAACAGTGTCATAAAATGCCGAGTTTCATATTCATAAGTTAAAGTGGAACTAGTCACTTTTATATT